CAACAACAACAACAACACGTGTTCTATGCAATTCTGTGGGGTTCTAGCTGGGAAGGGATTCCAGTGTACAAGTTACAAGTTAAAATGTCTGACAGTAGTCTAACTGCCTGAGGAGTTGAATTATGTAGAGAAACCTTTCTTTCCTTTGAGAAGGGCTCCTTCCTTTTCAAAAGACCTCCTGTGGTTTTTTGCAAACATAAAGCTGTCTCATCTCTAACTGCGCCACTAAGTGATGCCAACCAAAGGCAGCCCCACTGACCTTGTTTCTTTGGGGCAAAATGAGCCCAAGTCCTCACTGGTGATTGAAAAAACAAAACAAAACAAACCCATTGCCTGTTGAGTCAATGTCAATGAGTAAAGAGCTCTGGTGGTGTAGTGGGTAAGGCATTTGGCTGCAAACCAGAAGGGTGTCAAACCCACCAGTCTCTGCAGGAGGAAGATGGGCCAAGATGAGGTTGTAAAGATTTACAGCCTTAGAAACCCAATGGGGGTCACTATGAGTCAGAATTGACTCAACAGCAGTGCGTTTTTGTTTTTGTTTTTTAATATAAGACAGAGGAGAACTGCCCCATAGGTTTCTTAGACTGAAATCTTTACAGAAGCAGACGGCCACATCTGTCTCATGCAGAGCGACTGGTGAGTTCGAACTGCTGATAGTTTGCTTGGCAGCCGAGCACTTAACCAACTGCGCCACCAGGGCTCCTTCACCCAGTAACTTGGCACTTCTTAAGCTAGGTTTTGACGATAAGAACTCACTTTCCTATTAAGACACTTTATGCATGTTTGTTGCAAACTAAAATTACTTTTAAAGAATTGTAGTGAAACAAAGGCTTCTTCCAGCTTTCGTTATCTGTTAGGCATAAAGATTTTCCTTTGTTCTCTGCTCTTCCTCTTCTTCCTGAAGCTCTCCGAATTCTGCTGACTATACACAAATTCCATTCTTTGAATCTGTGAGAATCACCAGAGAGAGGCACAATTCAGTCAAGGGTTTGACGTCTGCTCAAGGCACACACAAAACAGGCAGACCAGGCATTAATCCCTCTAGCTGCATAACGGATCCAAACCTGCCTTCCTGTGGGCTGGCCTGGCCCTGCCCGAAGGCCCAGATGCCAGTATCAGAGTCTGGTATTCCAAGTTTCAGGAGCTGAGGCCCCTGGAGGCAGCCAACTTCGGGACAGCTTCTTGGCTCTGTCTAGTGAATTAAGCACATCCAACTCTTGAGGGAAGGGTTGTCAAGGTGCAGGGCTAACAAGGAGCAAGTAAGGGTCAGGAGAGATCTAGGGCACTGATTGCTTTAGATGTGAAATTTCAATCAGCAGAGACACGCAACCTTGTCTGCTCTATTATATGTTCAGATTAGGGAATTAGGAAGGACGTGGCCCTTCTAGTTGGAGAGAAGTACATTATTGATTAATGGGAAGGTTAGTGAACCATCATACACAACTACAATATATATTTATAATACATATTTCACCATTGGGAGCTCTGGTAGTGTAGTGCCTAAGGCATTTGACTGCTAAGCAGAAGGCTGGTGGTTCAAACCCACCAGCCACCCCTTGGAAGGAAGGTTGGGCAATCTACTTCCATAATGATACTGCCTCAGAAACCCAAGGAGGGGTCGCTATGAGTCGGGTCCGACTCGATGGCAGTGCGTTGCACCATGGGCTCAACTTTGGTAAAGATTTTAGAATTTATTTTTGCTTAACTGAATCCCTGAATTCCAAGAAAGAGATAGAGGGCATTTTCACTAGACAGGAGGATTAGTTTTTCCATATTCTCTATTCTTTTTTTGGTAGGAGGATAAAATTATGTATACATACACACACACACACACACACATATACACATATATAAACCAACCCAAACTCACTGCCATTGAGTTGATTCTAACTCACAGTGACCCCCACTGGGTTTCCAAGGCTGTTAATCTTTACAGAAGCTGACTGCTTCATCTTCCAACTGTGGAGCAGCTGGTGTGTTCGAACCACTAAGGTTTTTGGTTAGCAGCCAAATGCCTTAGTCACTACACCAGCAGAGGTCCTTATATGTGTGTGTATGTGAGTGCGTGTGTATGTATGTATGTATGTATTTAAGCAAGACTTGTCAGAATATCTAGTAGAGGCTCCAACATTGTGATCTTTTCTCTTTTGATGTAGATACAGGTCACTATTATTGATTTGTTTTTACTACAAAATAATATATTTTTTTTACTACAAAATAATATGACTGTCAATAAAGCATTCAAGTAGCATTTAGAACCAAAGATTGGGTCTGAAAATGGCTAACTTAAAAACCAATTCATACATTATCTTTAGAAAAAGCTGTGTACTTCCTGATCTCAGCAACCACAAATTCCCTTTGAATTAAACGAAGGCATGTTTTTTTTTTTTAATGCATTTTATTGAAATATAATTTATGTACAGTGAAATAAACAAAACTAAAGTGACATGGGTCAATGCATTATCATTATTTTTTTTTTTGTAGTGTTCCTTTCCCTCCCCTCCCACCCTTGGCAACCAACAAAGAAAGTTTCCCTTCATATATATACTTTTCCCAAGGCATGTTCTTGGTCACTGCTGCTGAGTGGGCTCTTGACTCATGGAGACTCCATGCACAATGGAATGAATCGCTGCCCAGTCCTGTGCCATTGCCCTGATGGGCTGTGGATCGGACCACTGTGCCTATAGGGTTTTCACTGGTTGATTTTTCAGAAGTAGATTGCCAGGCCTTTCTTCCTACTCCATCTTAGTCTGGAAGCTCTGCTGAAAGCTGTTTAGCATCATAGCAACATGCAAGCCTCCACTGACAGACAGACAGATGGTAGGTGTACAGGAAACACACTGGCTGGAAATCCGACCTTGATCTCCAACATGGAAGGTGAGGATTCTACCACTAAACCCCTTCCGCCCCTAGGGCAGGACATAGACTATTTTAATAGACATTTAGCTGGTGGGTTTGAACTGCCAGCCTTCTGGTTAGCAGTCAAATGCCTTAGGCACTATGCCACCAGAGCTCCTATTTTTAAATGTTTTAAATTTAGAAGTTTGAAACAGTAAAATCTGAGAAAAGAAATGAAGCTGCTTACCAAACAACTGATTTGCTTATAAAGGTACAACTTTGACATAGCCAGCTTTAAAGGAGAGGAAATGCCAACGTAAAAAACCCAAAAGCACAAAACAAACTTCTTTATCTAAGAGATGAATTTGTTACAGTTTGGCTATAAGAAGAATACTTGGTAAAATTTCATTTGTCTAAATATGTTGCTTTGGTGTCTTTTCTGTTTGAACCAAATTATCCTCATTTCTATCAAATCTGGGTGCTCTGGGAAGAGGACAAGATGGGTGGATAGATTCTTGAACGGCAAGTTGGCCTGAGGGTTGAATAGCTTTGTTCTCCTTTGCTTCTACTGCTCAGTAAACCCGAGTTTGATTCCAAATTGCCAAATTGCAATTTTATTGCAATGAGTTAGTCAAAACATCTTCAATAATGTACACAATTTCAAGGCAGCCAGTGAGGTCTGGGAACTCTCAACACTGGTTTACAGAAACCAGTGGGTTCAAAAGCAAGCCTGTTATTAGTCAGGGGATGCTCCCCAACACAGATTAAGTGAACTGTATAAACCAACAAATTTATCCATACAAAGGAACATTTGAGAAACATTTTCCAGGTGTGTTCCAACTGGCTAAGTTTGCATATTTGATGCCAAAGCCAACCAGCCACGCAAAGGGCCAGCAATCAGCAGGCTAGACTAATTACCCGGATGATTTGAGCAACATCAGACAAGTACATCAAAGGGTTTCTAATACATTTCATGGTATATTTTTAAAATATAGCTTTTAGAGTGTTTCTTGTATACAGATTAACAAGAAGCTACTATGTCTGAAAAAGCTCTGATGGTATGCATTCTGCTATGTGAAATTTTCCTGCTTTCCATCTTTGGTTTTGAGAAGCCAAAGAATGTGCTTTGCCTAACTCACAGGTAGGACAGCCAAGTGCCTCAGTAGAGCTATTGGGCAGCACTAGAAGGAGTGCCTTATTCTGACAACTCTCTCCATTTTATTACTTCATTCATTCATTCATTCTTCTACTTCTTTTTGGGGTTTTTTAATGCTTATTATTTGAATGTTCTCTCAGAGTTCTCTTTGTTGTCTTTCTCCTCATCTCCACACTCTCTGGATGAGTTTATCCACTCCTAAAAATCAGTTAGGAGCTCTGGTGGCGCAGTGTCTAAGGCATTTGACTGCTAACCAGAAGGCTGACAGTTCAAACCCGCCAGCCACACCTCAGAAGGAAGGCTGGGCAATCTACTTCTGTGGAGATACCACCTCAGAAACCCTAGGAGGGGTCGCTATGAGTTGGAACTGGCTCGATGGCAGTGAGTTTGGTTTGGTTTTTGGAAAAATCAATTACTGTTAGTAAGCAAAAATCTCCACATTTTTATGTTCCACCTAGATCTTACTTCTGAACTCCAGATCCACATGTGTATCCAAAAACCAAATCAAACTCACTGCTATCAAGTGGATTCCGACTCATAGCGACCCCCATAGGATTTCCAAAGCTGTAAATCTTTATGGAAGCAGACTGCCCCATCTTTCTCCCACAGAGTGTCTGGCGGCTTTGAACCACTGACCTTTTGGTTAGCAGTCAAGTGCCTTAACCACTGCACCACCAGAGCGCTTTTGCATGTATCCAACTGCTTACTAAAGTTTCATTTTGGATGTTCCAAGAAAACACAAATGCAATATGTCCACATTGGAATTCATCGTCTTCCTCTCTAAGCCTGCTGCCGATCTTTGTTCTGACTCTGTGTGACCTTCCCCAAGGCATAAAAATAAAAAACCTGGGAGTCACCACGGATGATGACTCCCATCATTCTCAACCCAAAAGTAGCGTCACTAATTCCTGTTGATCCTACCTCCTCGATGTCTCTCAAATCCATTCACTTTGCTTCATCCCACTGCTTCTATTTTAGTCCAGGCCAACATCATCTCTTCCAGTTACTGGGCCCCTACTCCCACCATTACTGCTTCTCTAATCCATTCTCCACTCTGGAGCCTAAGTAGTCTTATGTGCAAATCTCATCACATCACTCTTCTGATAGTTATTCATTCATTAACAGCTTCCTATTGTCCTCAGGATAAAGTCCAAACCCTCTGTGGCTCCGGCCCATCTCTTGCTTCACCAAGCCCAGACTTACTGAACCACTTGTACTTCTTCAAATGGGCCCTGCCTGCTCCCCTGTGGACTCTGCCTGTAATGCCCACTCCCATACTCTGCTCCCCCATTCTTCACCTGGTCCAGGGTCAGCCACGGAGTTTCTTCTGCCTGCTGGCCTTCCATGACACCCCCTTTTGTAGCATCTACTACATGGTATTTTCAGGCCTACTTACCAGTCTTCTCAGCCAGAGTGTAAGCTCCTTGAGATTAGAGACAATATGTTCATTATCTTTGTATTCCAATTCCCAGCATCTGGTAGATGCTCATTAATTATTTGGCTGAATAACTGAATGCATAGTGAACCTGATTTTTAAGCCAGGCACTGTGCTGGGCCCTAGTAGCTAACACATGCAGTATCATAATAAGACACAGTAGTTGTCAAGAATTGAGTCTTATAAGGGAGAAATATTAAATACCTGAGTGTAATATAATGTCATTAAAAAACAAACAAACAAACAAAAACCTCACTGCCATCAAGTCAATTCTGACTCATAGCAACCCCCATTGGGGTTCCAAGGCTGTAAATATTTACATAAGCAGACTGTCCCATCTTTCTTCCACAGAGCAGATGGTGGGTTCCAACCACCAACCTTCTGG